GCAAAGGTGTACTGTTGGTCAAATGACTGCATGAAATGACAAAGTTGCGCAAAGTCATGTACACTTGAATTAGATTCGGCCTCGTTAAGAGGAGTGAAAAAAAAATTAGATGGATCACATGGTCAATACGTACTGATTCCTGCTGACAAAGCAGGTAACGGCATTGTCTTTGTTTGTAAGGATCATTATATAAATTGTATGTTAGAAGAACGAACTAGGTTTTAATTCTGCAAGTGGTAATCCAACTTATATTCATTGATCCATTTCAAAGGAAGAGATTCTTCAAAATTATATGTCAGTTTTAAATATTTTAATATCCCAAAGAACCAAAATGAATTTGAACTACCATAAATATATATCAAAGAAGTGCAAACAATAGTATTGTCCTCCCACCTACATGTACCTCCAAGTCAATTTTCAAATGTTAAGATATTCGAACGATTTATCTAAACAAATAAAGAAACAAACCAAACAAACTTGCTGACGTGTTTTACTTCATACTTTTATTTGTAAAGAAAATCAGACAAGGAAAAAGTCACACATTTGAGGTGTTGATTGTCCTGACAGGCGTATTCAAATTTTCCCCAAAACCTTCAAATAGAAATCAAAATTAAATGTAAGTGTTTTCTAAATTTATTCAAAAATGCAAACATTTTATTACCTTCACCATATCTGTGTTACTGCCAACTTCCCAATATTTTAACATTTATTTGTTAAGATGCCGAATTGCAAATTTGTATGAGCTTCTTAATTATGTTTTAGAGGATACGGTCAGTAAAAAGTTGTGCACATTTTTTAAAGTGACCATAAACATGATCAATGTACGGACTGGACACAACCTAACAGCAGAGCGAACCCGAAGCGGACCCCGAGTTCGCTTCACGGGTTCGCTCGAGGTCCACTTCGGGATCGCTTTCTGAAATATTGAACCGCTTTTTTGGTGCGCCTTTGGTCTGCTTTGCGTTTGCTCAAGGTCAGCTCTGGGTCCATTAGAGCGAACCCGGCGTTTCCTAACAAAACATACTATAGTAAACTATAGTTAACTATAGTACCAAAGTTAAAACTTAGGAACTTTGATTTACTATGGTGAAAACTTTAGAACTTTGATTTACTATAGTAAAAACTTTTAAACTTTGATTTACTTTGTTGAAAAATTTGGAACTTTGATTTACTAAAGTGATAACTTTAAAACTTTGATTTACTATCATGGTGAAAACTTTGGAACTTTAATTTACTATGGTTAAAGTCTTTGGTACGTTGATTTACTATAGTGAAAACTTTCGAACCTTGATGGAGTACTATAAAACCCGTGGAATTATGTTTTTGCTTCCCATTCTGTACATTTCATGAAATTACAAGGTTAAGATTTATAAAAGCTTGGAGAAAAAAATTACTATAAGATAAAATTTGCAAAAAAATATTTCCTTCATTACCTTCAAACAACATTTTTTAATTTACTGTTTAATGTAAATAATGCATTTACATCAGTTTCTTTGCATATTTAAATTAAGATGAACAACAAAAACCAGTCCCAACAAACCAAATATCAATCCCTTTAAAAAAAGGTAAATAATAAAAAAGAAATAATCAAAATATAAGTTATTTAAGTAATTAAATATTAACTTTTAAAACTTTGATTCAGTACAGTAAAAACTTAGGAACTTTGATTCACTATAGTAAAAATTTGGAACTTTGATTTATTATAGTAAAAACTTTGGAAATTTGTGAATATCTGTGGTATAAACTTTGGAACTTTGATTTACTAAGACGAAAACTTTGGAACTTTGATTTACTACAGTAAAAACTTTGAAACATTGATTTATTATGATAAAATCCTTTGGAACTTTGATTTACTATAGTGTAAACTTTGGAACTTTGATTTACTATGGTCAAAACTTTGGAACTTTGATTTAATTAGTTAACTATAGTAAACTAGGGTCTTTCTGGTATCACTTTACTCATTGATGCGTGAAGCGGACCCCACTTTAATCTTGCCGCCATTAAGCCCCGCCCCTTGTATTTTCCAATATAGTAATGGAATTGTGGAATCGATCACTGTTGTTTTGGTGGCGATCGATATATGTACACTATACATGTAATACAGTTACATCATAGAAAACATTGGTAAATTTTCAAATTCCAAGTTATTTAACAGCGGGCTATTAGGCATTGATTTTTCTTTATTTATAACGCGAAAACAAAAACAGAAGAGGAAGAATAAGTATTCAACTGATTTTCAATGAATCGAATGGTGTACTGTACAAATGAAACTGACGAAAGCATCTAAACAAAATACCTTTCAAATTCATGCGTAATATAGTTAAAATTATATTAGTTATTCCTTATGTTTTGCTAAATCGTAGTTAAAATTTTTGATAAACACGTAAATTATGATATCTATAAATTAACCTATTGTACAAATAATACATTTAGATTTCATTTAGTGTAGTAACACATTGAAAGTTCGTAAGAATATTTACCGGACATTTTCTAAAATATAGATTATATCAGATCTTAATTACTCGCTTTTTTTTTCAAATAATATACAGGATGATGTACAGGAACATTGATTTTTTTTTCATGTTTAATTAGGATCAATGATTTTGATGTCAATTTATTATAATATTAATTTGAAAGGAACAAATAAAAATTGAGACAATGGAAATAAACTAATTAAATAATGGGCACGTACATGTACGCTCGTAAATGTATCTTGAGGTAATGAAATTTTACAATTTGTCAAAGACCAGTGATTTTTCTTTTCTCCCCTTTTTTCAGTAAAAATGATAGTGCCAATAATTATCTTCTATTTTCTTTTACGAATTGACTGATATATTCACTCAATTTATCTTTAACACTGGACTGGTATTTAAAAAAAGGTAAATATTTATGAAAAATTCTACCTGGAAAATTAAAATATATAATTCATTAATTACTTCAATAATGAAATTAAAAACAATAAATATAGCATACAGCCCGGAGAATCAAAATAAATTTATATAAAATAGTATTCAATTATCATAATAGATTTACACACGCTTTGCTTGTATATACAATGTTTGGATTTATAACGATTAACATCACACATTCGATCTGTTATCCCAATCGACAGATCAATATGCCATTTTGATTGGTCGACGCGCTGATTGATTTATAGCTTATCCTGATTAACAGCTTTGTAAATAAATACCGGATGCGCTTTCGCTTTCTGGGACCGCTGCTGAATTCGGAGTTCGCTCTCCGGGTCCTCTTCGGGTTGGCTACGGGTTCGTCCGGGGTCAGCCCTAGATGAACCCGAAGCGGACCCAGAGAGCAAACCCGGGGTGCGTTCCAGGTGCTTTCTGTTAGGTTGTGTTCGGTCGGTACTGTAGTATGTAAGCACATTCTTTATAACATGTAAGGACTTTCGTTGTTTTCCAATCAAAAAGTTATCTCCAAGACGCGACGTTCGTGGTAATGTACGAATTGTGATCAATTCTTTTAAAAGTAATGGAGCTTAGTCCCCGTAAAACTGAGTCCCATTGCTTTTGAGGATTGAAACGATAGGAATACAATAGCATGCTTATAACTCCGGATCCACAGTTTTTAGTGTTTTAATTATTGTATGTTAAAATATATTGAAAGGAAAAAGAAACGCAGGGTAGCTTAATATTCGAAAAATTTTTGACCGCTTGACCGAAAATTACGAAAATTGGTCAGATGAGAAACTTAGTTACTATGCACAGAAATTAGTGTTCAGAATTACTCAACCGTAAAAATTATGACGTCACATAGGGAAAACGCTAAAAAGTCCAAAACACGTGCAATTTGATGACGACGAGTTTGTCAACAAATCTTGTTGCACTATTTGATGCAACTGAGGTATGCACATTGTTTTTCAATATCTAAAGTTCTTCTTTGAACTTCTTGCAATCTTGGTGCAGTTTACGGAAGTTCGATGGAGTCTATTTTCGAATTGCCCATTTAATGAAAAAGGCAACAACGGGTAACTAAGCAGTTTCTTGTAAATTTTCTCCCATAAAACTTGTAACCCGTTGTCAGAGAAGGCCTGGAACTATCTTTAATCAATCGTGACGATGACGTTAACGCGAAACAGAGTCATGTTACGAGCGGGTTATTCGTCCTGTCATCTCTTAAATCGCCACCTTACTACCCCCAAAACCCCCTTTTATACAGTAGACTATCATAATCATCACGTTCACACGAAAACTGAAAGAAAGCAATTCCGCAATTTGGTTTTTTGAGCCAGTGAACTTACTGATTTGTTCCTTTCACTGGCGCATGCGCGCGTCGTATGACTAATTTTTTGACATGGTTATCCATGCCCAATATAGCCAGGGATTGAAAGATAAACACTCGGATGAATTCCATACAAAGGAGAAATAAGGGCCATGACAGATGCACGGGAGAGACATTGAAGACAATGAGAGTTTTCGATTTTCACTTTTGGGGGGTATCGTCATATGAGCTTCATTAACTCATTAATTATTAAACAAAATCAAATGGGATTTTTGTTATATCGTTTTGAAAGATAGTTTAAAAGTTAGATAGGAATACTGAAAAATATATAGTGAAAAATATAAATTTAATTCACCTAAAATGTTTACCCTGCGTTTCTTTTTCCTTTCAGTATATAATTAGAATATATGCAGTATATCCTGTTTTTAGTGTTGGAAATTTTGCAGAGGAAATAAAGAAAGTGTTTATGTCTGTCTGCCTGTCTATTATTGAAGAAAAATAATTTTTCAAATGGCAATGATTTTTAAATATTATAAAATAGCTGACATAATTTCAGCGTATTTTATATTTTACTACTTAAAAATTATCACAAGAAAGCGAAAAATAGATCTTTGCACAAAAAGAATGGATATATTGTAATATATATAGTCAGTATACAGTGAAGTCAATCTATCTTTAGCATATTAGTTATTTTTAGTTTTTTTTAAAGAGAGAGAGAAAGAGAGAGAGAGTGAAGAGTTTTACATGCATTTATTATTATTTAGATCCGTCATCCATTAATAGCTTCTATAACGTAGTCAGATGAGTGTCTGAATACGCTGAGGGTACCCGCATCGATTCTTAGCGGCACAATGATAATTTTTTGGTAGTATGAAATTCACTAATTGTAAGCTCTTTCCCCGGTAAATGAAGAGGCACGGGAATGAGAATTTGAGCATAGAAAATGCCGCTCTCAGTGTAATATGCAGCTCTAAAGTTCTACAAAATAAAAGAATCTTCAAAGAGAAGAGTTACGTGAGAAGTGGATTTTAATGCATGGACAGACAACAATAGACGGATAGGTAAACGGTCAATGTTATTCTTATATACCCTTTTAACTCGTTTTGGGAAGACGCATGTGCTAAAACATATATAAAAAATCAAGAAAAACAACTATAAAATGTTTTATGATCATTTGAAAAAAGAAACTACAAAGGAGTGCATTACCAATCTAGTTTGTAGTTGGCTTTCTATAAATGCTATTTTTCCAACTTCCACCGCAAATTTGTTTCCTATTTCCGTTACATTTCATGTTGCAATCTCCTTCAGATTTTTTAACTTTTGTGGTCATACGGTTTCCACAGAAACAATGACTAGAACTCTACAAAGAAGACATTATATGATTACGTCATATTTGATGAGTGTCTGTGTCAATCAATTATTTATTTTCAGTAATACATTTATTGACCTGGAGACCATAAAACCGGTATTTCGTACAAAACTTCCTGCAGTATTCAACAGTCATGGCTTTGTAGTTTGTAGACTTATTGGGCAAGGCTCGGCTCGACTGGTCCTGATAGCAGCCCAGGTATTCTAGCAGAACATGCAAAAGTTGTTTATTTTTCAATTGTATTTACATTTAACTTTATGCTGAGTTTACAATTTAATAATAGAGTCTCTACTCTCTAGAGATTATTCACACACAGTTATTCCTCAATTTGTCAAATTCTTCAAAACCACTCGTTAAATTATTTATTTTAAAGGATATCCAATCAGCCAGAAAGTATTATTACATGTATTTAATTTAACATCTGATTTAACAAGCCTCAAAATTAAAAATGTAATCAATTTTTTTTCCTGCTACAATTTAAATATAAGGGATACTTTGATTCACAATTGTACTGAAAATATTTTTGAGATTCAATAATATACCCTTTATAATATGATTAAGTTCATGATGAGTTAAAATTCATAATTGGTAGATATATATTATTTTGGAAAAAATCAGACATTCTTGTGAACATTTTCAATAACCAACTTTTGATTTTTTTTTACTTAAGATTGAATCTTAATATTCCCAGCAATCAAACTGAACTTTTGGAAAAAGTAGACATTCTTGTGAACATTTCCAAGTAACCAACTTCTGATTTTTTTTTTTTGAATTAAGGTCGGATCTTAATATTCCCAGCAATCAAAATGAACTTGAATTACTATTGCTATATTGTATTTCAAAACCTTAAAAAATCCTTTCAGATATTGGAACGCATGATAAAGCCTGATAAGTCTTTATGTTGTGCATATTTTCATCTGCAGCTCTCCTTTTACTATCATTTTTAGCCTGGTGGCTGTAGGCATTATGATCGAGTGTCTTTCTTTAAATAGCACAGTAAACAAAAACCAAACAGCGTCAAAGCAGACGCTTCCAATATACAAAATAGTCCTTTTGCGAGACGATATTCAAACAAATATTTTTAACATCCCAGTCGTTGGAAAAAGAAATGATCAATATTTTTTTGCTTCAGAATTAAAATTAAATATTTGCTTTATTGGGATAATCGTGATATAACAATTTGTGCACACACCCTGCTGAAAGCATATTATAAAGGAACTATTTTCAATAGAGCTGACTTTTCGAAATGTTGTAATTGTTGAATAGTTTCATGTTTCATATTGTTTTCGTCGATGCTATTTTAGTGGTTATATTCTGTTTTGACGTTTAGCAAATAAAAAGTATAGTGAATTGGAATTTTAAGAGTAACAAGCGTAAGGTCGCTTAACAATCTACATGTATCAGTGTTTCTACATGTAGTTGGCAATAAAAGTACCGTTTCTTTGAAACTAAAAGAATGTCTATAAAATACACACGTTCATTATTTTAACTATTCGAACACTGTATTTTTAAATTAAGTGAAAAAAATTCTTATTGAATAGAAGATATAGGAGAATTACTTGGAAATATTAATTATTGAATTTTAAAATCATAACATATCATGGGTTCTGAACTGTTGAACTTACTGGTATATGGGATATTGTTTAAAATCATAATCATGCAAACTCTACCTGTAAAAAATCAATGGCCAAAAGGAAAAAAATGTACTAATTTGGGATCAGACAATATACTAGTACTCGAGCAAATAAAGTCCGGCTTTCAGTTCTTTCAATAATTTGATTAGAATAGCCAGCATGAACAATGAAAATGCGTAGTTTCAGTCACTTTGAGGAAATATAGGCACCCGAAAAGAAACAAGCCTTTAGAATTTTTTCTGGAATATTAGTGCAATACTTACAATTAACAGCTACAATCCCTAGAGAACCCTAATTATTGTCAAATGTATTATATATAAGCACACCTTATTCATAAGCTTTAATTTATTCCTACATGAATCACACATGATATTCATGCTATATGCTTTTAAACTCCGATTTCTTGTGTTTGTTTACATGAATTCTCGTTACGTTTCACTTTCACTTTGCTTATACTGATCAACAGTTATGCTGTCACGGGTTTGGTATTTAACTCCAGTGACAAATACGTAGATATTGATACCATACAGAATTGATAATATTTTGTCAAAATTAAGCTCCTGTATGTGTCAATTCCATTCTACGACCTCAAATCAATCTTTAAATATAGATTTTTGGAAATTTTTATCTCTTACGTTCACGTCATAATGGTTATTTTTATGCCCCCTGGGTCAGGAGTATCGGGGATGGGTGGTGGGGGGGGGGTTAAGTCTGAAAATAAATAAATGCTTTGAAATCTGCTATTTGGTATTATTCATCCATTTATGATGAAATAAAATGTTCCAGAATTTTGAAATTTGTGGCTCCAGGGTAAGAGGTGCCTGTGGGATGGGATGAACAACTGGTTATGAAGTGGAAATGCAATTTCTCTTTCTTACTCTGATCTACCTCTGGGTATAAAATAAACAGAGAAAGCATGCTAAGTGTATAATTATGATAAGCAATGGCGCCTCTTTCAAAATTGTGAACTTCATGGCCTCTGGTTTAAATAAAGAACCAAATTCAATTCTTGGGAAGTTGTTACATGATAGTCAGGTGACCTACATCTAATAGGCCTGTGGGCCTCTTGTTAAGTATCCATATCTAAAATACACCATTTTCCCACCATACTGTGTTGTACGACTATCATGAAGTTGTTTCTTCTCTCGTTTTAGTATTTCAGGGGTGAAGAGTAAAGAAAGACGCTTGTAAGAACATTCACGATAACCCGCTTAATATTTTTGTCGATATGGATTCTTATCCTTTAAACATTTAGGATATCATTACATACATTGTTATTCAAAGAATGACTGCACTTAAGCTATGACAGTTGGATCCCGATGTTTTGCGCAAAATAAAATTCCAAAATTCATTAAATTTATGTTTTATAGGTATTAAACAATGTCTCAATAGCAGGTTTTGGTATATTATATTACACGAAAGTATTAAATAATGCCGAGCGACACTAGCTTTTGAGACGGGGGTCTAACAGTTCTGTCCCATTTCTATTGTTATTCATATGCATACCAGTTTTCAATGACTTTGTTTACATCGAGCCGCAACTTGGCCATTTTTCTTATTTGCACAGAATGTGTATTTTAACTTAAACTAAAACATATCCAAAGGACAATGTTGGCCAAGTTGCGGCTCATATCTAATTTTTAAAAAAATGTCCTCAAAATAGGGTCGAGATAGCTACTAAATTAACCGGTCACCGAGCATCAACGATTGATATTATAATCACCTTTCTCACGTGACCTTCTGCTGTTCGATACGCTAACGCTTTCATTGAAAATTCATTGTGTTTTAGTCTCTGTTGTGACATTATCTATCGTACTTCCAACTTCAAACTATGGGAGATTTTTGCGCAAATTTTAATAGGGTTTGAAGATAATATTTCTCTTATTTAACTAAATGCTTTTCATTAGGGGTGTTTTGAAAGAATTCTGGTGTTGACAGTGTCATCAGTAAGTACATGTATAGGCTTATGTCGCCTCTGTATTATGGTCAGCAGAGCGATACATCTACCCCATCCCTTAACATTAGAATCATTTAATAATTGTGCACTATAAAATCAACACGATCTCTCTCTCTCTTCTCCATTTCAATTCATATTTCGAAAAAAATCATATGTGCTAATGTTTACATTCCACAACCACGCGGTTTAAATGTCTCCGCCTATTTGCGGATACCTTAGATTCAAAAGTGGTCCCGTTCAAATTTCCGGAATTTAAGGCTTTTACATGTTCTTTTCAATTACATTTTCTGTAATTATAGAAATATGTATGACAAAAATTTTTAGAGATAGATATCAAAACCATATGCTTGCACATTAATCATATATTAATTTACCGATATATTGTAATTTTAAGCTTAAAATGGATAGCCGAAAAGGTTCCAAATGACGTACTTAAGTGCAGTCATTCTTTATTTTGATTATTTACTTCACACTTCACTCGGTCGTCCTTAGACGACCAACGACAGGGCCAGTTTTTCCAATCGGCAATTAGGGAAGCTAGTTCATTTGCATCCTTTGCCTTCGTGTCACGCTTTATTGTGTCCTAAAATGTGGCCTTGGGTTTTCCTTTTCCACGGCGTCCGTGATTTGCCTCTCACATTTTGATTATTGGGAATATCCAAAAATCCTTAAAACAAATATATGATGTGAAAAAAAAATGTTCATAGTCAATCTATGTCCAGTAGAGTTTTTTGTTTTATAATTAATAGTTTGGAAGCAGTAGTCGATGAACAAGGTGTGGGTTTAACTTTTGTAATATGTTGCAAAACATGTCTGGTTCTTTTATGATAAAATTTAGTATATTCATTTTATTAACTGTGTTCATTTCGTTGTTGACATGTTGAAGTTTAATGAAATATCGGCTTGTTTAAATGGTATTTTAATCCTTTAAATGTTAGTCAGATTCCAAATCCAAAGCAGGTCTTAAAATATTTGTCCATAAAGACGTCATATGTGCTGGATCACAATTAGAAGTAAATATTATTAACATCAGAGAAAAATATCGTTAAACATCTAAGTACAGTTTATCACAATATGTCACGCTTTTTGACGAGAATTAACAGAATATTGTACAATTCACGGCATTGCTTGTCCACAAGCGGTAATTATTTTGCTCTGCATTTAATTTTGTAAATTGCGCTTCATTTATTTAATTTTGGTTAAAATAAAAAAAAAACAACAACAGAGATTCATACAAAATGCATGTTTAACAAATAACATTCCGATAAAAACTTATAACAAGAAGATTGACACGTTTCTAAACGCCCGATCACGCGCGATTAAAACTGCGAACGACTGAGTCTGATACACGCGCGTTACACAAAGGATTACGCACGTTATATGAAGGATTCTGCGCAGTTGATTTGTCATCAATAACGTTGTAGCAACTGCAGTAGTATCCAACCGTAAGTGCATCATCCATGCAACCATGGTCCAGGTAACACTTATAGTTACTTTGGAATGGATTGCTCCTAAATCTTAAACCGCAACGCCAAGGCTGCGTGCTAAATCCGACGCCTATGCCCAGGATATATCATAAGCGCATCTCGATTTCGTCGACCTATTGGTTTTATACCAACCCTGAGAATCTGAAGTAGACACACATGACGTATATTCATTTTCTTTTGGATTGCCATATATATCATATATGACCACTCTAGTTACTTATATACAAACCATTTTTAAGCTGTAGATTTCTGTAGATGTTCATTCTTAAACTTCCACCACAAAATTGCTTCTTATCCCCGCTGCATTCCAGAAGGCATTCCCTTTCTGGTTTCGTAACATTTTCGGTAAGAGAGTTTCCACAGAAACACCAACTAGAATACTACAACATCAGAAACAATATGAATAGATCGTATTTAATAAATGTCTGTTAACGTCGGTGAAATATCTCTTTATTGTAATAGATTTATGAACCTGGACACCGTAGAACTGGAATTTCGTACAAAACTTCTTACAGTATTCCACAGTCATGGATTTGTTGTTTGTATACTTCCCAGCCAAGGTTCGGCTTGAGTGATCCTTGAAGCATCCTAGATATTCTAGAAGGAAAGTCCAATAATATTTCAACATATCTTTTGTTATTCCTCTGACTTTATTTTTAGTTCAATATGCAAAAGTACAGTAAATGTTCAAAATTGAACAATATATATTTTTGAAAATGATAACATCAAAGATGAATAAAAAACAACCAAGACCGCATCGACAAAGAAGCTTCCTTGCTCTTTGAATAAAATTGATATTTTAGGTATTGCTACAATGTGAGTATAAATAATCAATAAAACTAGAGGAAAATAGTATGTTAATTCATATGCTGAGGATTCTTTTGTTCATTTTCTGCTTTGTAGCCAAATGTTTGAATGCCAAAAAAGGCACGTTTCAATTTTTCTGGATTACCAACATGACTGTTATGAATAAAACAGTTCAGCACCTCTGTATGTCCCTAGATTCAATGTCCTACTTGATTGCACTTGTTACAAACCTTCGCTGTACTCTGGATTTCTATAGATGTTCATTCTATAACCTCCACCACATATTTGTATATTATTTCCGCTGCATTTCATATTACATTCTCTTTCTGGATGCCTCACATTTTTGGTAAAAAAGTTTCCACAGAAGCAATGCATGGAATACTAAAAAGAAGAAACCATATGATTAAGTTATATTTAACAACCAAGCCCTATGATTAACGTGATGACTTTTCAATCGTCAGCTTCCCTTACTTGTGCAGCAATATACCTTCATCACCTGCATAGGGAGTTTATATATCTCAGTTAATTTAATGCACAATAACATGCTCTACGTATGTTCAATTTCTAAAACGGGGTAAATTATTGACAAAGAAGTTGATGAAACAAAAATATTAGCAGTCTAGTTTAAAGTCATCATTTGGTATGTTCTTTGCTCGATACAATGATCCTGACAGCAAATACAATTTATTCTTACGTCAAATTATGACTGACGTTTTTCATACTAATTGTTAGACCATTATTAATAAACTAAATTGACGACGAATTTTTCACTCCTCCTAAGCACCTGATCCAATATCCGATTTTTCGGATTTCCGAGTTTTATATACACCTATTTTGTACAGTGTATTGTTTTACTGACTTTTGAGCATGTATACTATTCGTTGTCTCAATGTATTTCATTATCATGTAATAAGCTGTAGTCAATAAATGTACTTTTATGAACCTGAACACCGTAGAATTGGAATTTAGTACAAAACTTTCTGCAGTATTCGACAGTCATTGATTTGCTGTGTGTACGCTTTCCTGTAAATGTTCGGCTCGACTGGTCCTGGAAGCATCCCAGATAATCTAATCTCAAAAAATTATCATTTTTAATACAATATCTGATTATTTACATACATCGATTGATTTGAATTTAAGATGAGCATGCAAAAAAAGTTTTATTTAATCGAAATTAACACATGTAAGCGATTTTGGTAATACATTATTTAGCATATCATTTTTAAAATAACATGAAAATGGTAAGCTCACCAACAAAGTTTTCTGCTCTTTTAATATTACAATTCCTTAATGCATGCAGTAAAATTACGAAATTATCTGTATTTTTCATTTTCAGGGATATATCGTTATGATTCCCTTTGTTTTTATTGAAAGAATTTCATCAGGGCTAACATACTTGTATATAACAAGTTTTCGTTCTAGAAAGATGAAAACTTTACAAAAGGAACATCTGTGGAAATAATTATTTTAATTCAAACATCCATAAGGTTTTAGAATGTAGTACCCAGCGGGAAGGGGAAAATTGAGGCAAATATAGTCTATACTTTCTTTGCGAGTCCAAACCATAAACTTCTCAGTTTACAATATTATATTGCTTTGTGGTTAATTCTTAAGAAATAGACTTACATACGTGGACGATCTTGTCACCAACCTTTGTCATACTCTGGCTTTCTAAATATGTTCATTCTCCAACTTCCACCACAAATTTGCCTCTGATTTCCTTTGCATTTCATGTGACATTCTCCCTCAGGTTTTTTAACATTCTTGGTAAGACGGTTTCCACAGAAACACCAAGTAGAATACTACAAAAAAGGTACAAATTTGACTACATTTACATTGTATGTTATATCTAATGAGAGTTTTTGATATGAAAGTAAGTCCAATTCAATTTTTGTAATATATTTGTGAACCTGGACACCATAGAACTGAAATTGTGTACAGAACTTCCTGCAGTATTCGACAGTCATGGATTTCTTGTTTATATACTTGTCGGCCAAGGTCCGGCTTGTCTGGTCCTGGAAACATCCCAGATATTCTAACAAAAATATGTTAACATTAATTTATCTACGATTATTTATTAAAGACTTTATTTTGTATGGTGGCATATTCACGCCAGATTTCTTTTTATATGCATGTTTATAAGTTTATATCTAATGTCTAGAACTGTAAAATATTATACATTTATTGACTGGGTTCGAGGGCAATATGCTCTTTGTCGGACCCAAGAACCATACTGTTTGCGTAAGGCTGTTAGGCCTAAGGCAGACAGTTTGGCTCACGGGTCGACAAAACACAAGTTTAAGATTAACGACAGAGAAGTGTACATTACTTTAGTTTCTTATTACTGGTAACATATTGAAGATTAATTGAAACTCTTGGCAAGATTGCTTACTCTAATTAAAAACCTACACATTACTTTGCAACGAGCTCTGTTGTAGTCCTAACTTGTAGTTTACATGTACAAGCCCTCGTACATGTGAGTTTCCTTAACTACTTTAATGTGTCGACTTGTCAGAGATTAAATTTATTTTCCAGATATCGATATGTCAGATAACTAAGATCACTAGTCAAATCTCTTTGTTCACTTTAAAGATCCTTATGACAACTAAAAAATATATGTTTCGATCGAAAGCAGAACATGGCATTGAAAAATTGACATGTAAATTTTCAAACATTTTTCAAGTCAGGAAAAGATCTGATAAATTGAAAAGATTATCTCACAAAACAAAATAAAGATCTGACAAATATACTGTATATAATTATCGGAGAAATTAATTTGGAGCAGTACTAATTCATCATAATGCTGATATTAAAATATTAACATGCAGATCTAGAAGACTCTAAGTAAATTTTCTGAGGTAAATTAACTTAATCACCACAATAAAAATAGATAAGACTGATCAATTTTCATTTTAAAATTAACATCAAAATCCCGGACCTCATCAGGTAAACTTCCTCCTATATGCACCTATTGAAATTTCACCACATTTATCAATATAGTCCGAAAAATCTGACGTTTTCCTGGCTTTTTTACGATTTTGATATTTTACATGCCAGGAAAACGTCAGAACCGGCGCCATTACGAAAACTGGGAAATCGCCGCCTCCAACCGGAGGCGGCATTCTCTGGTAGATTTTAGATACTTGCGAACTGAATTAAATTTCAAAGTCAAAGGTTATCAATAGTACAATACTTAAAGAACTTACCAATATAGTTTTTATGGTTCATTTATGAAATAAATAATCCGTTGAAAAAGGTTTTGTCACACTCTCGAGATTTGTCTTTATTTCGTGCATTTTAAAATCTTGCATGTCCTGTTACGAAATGTAGAGTAATATTTTCTTTTCATCGATATTGGTGAGTACTAGAGGCATTGTGCTTTTGATAAATTCTGATTTCGGCATTTAGTTCGGTTCACAAGTATCGAAAATCAACTCCAGTTGAAGACGGCGAAATTTCCAGTTTTCGTAATGGCGCCGGTTCTGACGTTTTCCTGGCATGTAAAATATCAAAATCGTAAAAAAGCCTGGAAAACGTCAGATTTTTCGGACTATTATCAATACTGTTTCAACTTGATTATTGCATATAATTATGCATTTTAAATTGAAGTTAATTATCTGTGATTTAACTTGCAAAGGATTTCTTTTATTTGCTTTTTCTGTGATAAAATTTTTGTGCATTACTAAATAAGATAGATCTCTGTTCCAGAAAGAAGGGAGCTCTGCATTATGTTATCTGCAATATTGAATGAAACGGATTTTAACATAACAACATTCAGTAAAGTCCCTCTATAGGAAATGGAAAATAAAAAGATTTCTCAATACTACGTTTAGTTTATTAAAGGTTTTCTTATCAAAAATTGATAATATCGTCTGTCGTTGTCGTGGTTGTCGTCGTTGCCATCCTTAACATTTTACATTTTCATCTACTTCTCAGGACCCACTGAGTCAATTTCAACCAAGCTTGCAAAAAAAGTATCTAGATAAAAAAATTTTTAAGACCAGCAAAGTCATGATTGGTTAAATTCATATAGAAGAATTCTCGGGTAGTGAAGGTTAAAAATTATTTAAATCATGACCCCGGGGGTAGGACAGGGCCACAATGGTCGATCAAAATTTTACATAGAAATATATAGGAAAAACCTTAAAAAAATCTTCTTAGGAACAGCAAACCCATGATAAGTAAAATTTACATAGCAATATCCTCATGTTAAGATTCAAGATTTTTCAAATCATGACCCCAGGGGGAAAGTCGGATCATAATGAACGAACAAAGTTTTACAAAGCTTAAATTTATTTTTAAAAGAATATTTTGAAGAAAAGCAAAAACCATAATTGATCATGTTTATATGGAAGCATTCTCAGGTATAGTTTAGGTGCATTTGTTAAAATCAATAGCCCATGGAATAGGGTGGGACCACAATAAAAGTTCAAACTTAAATGGAAAAAGACACACTTATAGTCAAAATATGACATCATCCTTAGTTACATATAGTGTAGATTCAAACTTGCGTAAATTTAATTTTAATTTGTTCAAAATACCCTTCCCTTTTGTAGTCTGGACGACTTATGCATTTACTGAATTGTTTTTCATTAGGGCTGGGTATTGGCCCGAGATTTCGTATTACAATATACATGTATTGCGATATTTGTAACTGTATTGCGATATGTATTGCAATATTTTCAATGTAATTTAAATGGCATTTTCTTACTATATTTACTTTAATTTACATGCAGAATGTATATAACTATGATAAGTAACCAACACTGACAAAAAAATTGTTGATTTCATTAAAGTTATGCTCTGAGATGTTCCCACAAAACAACTTCTGTTGTAATGTTTGGCTTAATAACAAACTTTCATTAGTCCATTTTTACATTTAATGACAAAATTCCTTAATCTAAGCATATTGCCAATATATCGATATTACAAAATCGTATTGCGATGCAATATTTTTTGTCATTGTATTGCAATATATTAAAATATCGATATTATTGCCCAGCCCTATTTTTCATGCTTTGCTTGTTCCTAGCCACAGTGCTCAGTTAAGCGATATGGCCATAGGCCTCTTGTTTTCTAAATTATAATGAAATGATGAATTTGAGAATTAAGACTGCATTTATGTCTGCTCTCATTACCAACCATTGTTGTACTCTGGACTTCTGTAGATGTTCATTCGCCAATTTCCTCCACAGATTTCCTTATTATTCCCGCTGCATTTCATGTTACATTCTCGTTCTGGATGCCTCACATTTTCAGTAAAAAAATTTCCACAGAAACACCAAGTGGAATCCTACAAAGAAGACAACACATGATTTACAACGTATGTCATATTTATGAGTGTTTATAGATGTCAATAAAATTGCTGTTTTCTATAATACATTTATCAACCTGGACACCGTAGAACTTGTATTTTGTACAAAATTTTTTGCAGTATCCAACAGTCATAGATTTCTTGTTTGTATTCTTTCCAGCCAAGGTTCGGTTTGATTGATCCTGGAAGCATCCTAGGTACTCTAGCAAAAAATAAAATTATTACCATGATTGTTTTGTATTTATGTCATATTTATTTGGACCTTAAATTTCAACAATCAAAAGACAATAATAAAATTATGAATGCGATTAACCACAATCACCATATCAGATGAAATTGTTTTATTGATCAATACATGTATTAATTTTCAAAATAAAGAACGTAAGAAATGGTGAACAAGTTTATTAACAAAGCTACCTACAAACTGTTATATTTTAGTTAAATATCTAATTGTTTCATAATTGATACCTGTAAATTCCCCTGCCTTTACGTTGCATACTGAAATGAAAGAAAATGTTTTGTTCAAAAGTGTTGCATAATAATAAAATAAACCTTTTGTAGTTATAATCTAGTAACTTCTTGGCTTCCATATTTTAACAGATAAACTAGCATCGTTTTTGTAAAAGGTTTATGAATGGACTGTCAGTCTAGTTGCAAAGTCATTGATTTCGGGAAAAAATATTCCAGTTATATATGTGGAACAAAACGTTAATTTCGAGCGAAAATCTATGCATTATAAATCAACAAATTTTGCAAATAACCTCCGACTGTAATGAGTGCATTAGCGTTCAAATTTATTGCTCTGAAAGTGCTTTAGATACTAGGTGATCATGTATATAAACTTTATGCAGATTTCACTTACAAAGTAAGTACAGTCGAGCCTCATTTATCCGGACGCTTTGGTTCCTATTCAATTTGTCCGGATATGTGAAGCGTCCGGATACATGAACCAGTTAAACAGGACAAAATAACATTTAAAAATTCTGTCCCGACGAAAAACCGTCCGGATACTGAATCATCCGGATATCTGGAATCGGGATATCTGAAGGTCCACTGTATCGTACATTTCTTTAAAAGTCTGCTCTCATTTTTAATAATAAACAGCCATGAAGTAGCAAGAACGAATGTACATTGTTCGGTGGTGATTCCGGTTGACGATTCTTAGTTTCTGTTTATTTGATTTCAATGATATACTTTGAAATCACAAATTTTCGTGAAGACACCCACGAATTCATGTCCACCACAAGCTACTACGCAATTCTACATCCACGAAGTCAAATCCCCACGAATTTAACCAAGAGTTTTTCCTCAAACCACAAAAATATGCGATTTTAGAGTAACAAAAATAACCTGTGATGACCTATTAAAAGGTAAAGTGTGCAAATAATCGTCATTCATTCTGGATCAACATTATAACACTAAGTTCGATGTAAAAAAAAAAAAAAAAACACGGTGATTATGGCTGCGTGAGTATTCAAAGAAAGATTTTGTGTGAATGTTCGTGGATGTAATGGTAAATCATGAATTTAAATAACACTATCTGCTGTGAATATATTTTGACATGTATACAAAAAAATCTAGTAGCATTGTTTACTATCTTTTTTATTAGTAAAATTGATTTGAATATTGCTTTACGCTTTTTTTATCTTAGAATTTTTGACCAAATAAAGAAATTATTAGCTGTAGGTCAAAAGTCAGAACATATATATGATTTCACTCATCTCCATTATATTGCATTAAAATTATCTCATTTATTGCCACTTCAGGAAGTACGATGCATGTGCGTGATAAATGTGAAAAATATCTTATGGTTTGTCGATATGTTAAAAAATAGATTATAAAAACTTTATTCGGTAATAACCAATATATGCCCCAAAATCAAACTTTGATGGAGAAACATTTAATTAAGTTCTTAAACGGGGGGAGTATATGCTGACTTCAAAGCACTGAATATTTTCAAAAGTAATGACGCCATATGTACCTATTGACGTCACAAACATGACGTAAATTTCAGTTTTTTTTTTAAATTTTACAGAAAAATGTACATATTTCGTCGATATTTTGAGTAAATGTCACCAAGCGCATGTGTGTTCAGGATCAATATTTTGATATAATGTGTAGAATGATAATATTAATGAAATATGTCAATATTGTTCCTGAACTTGAGCTCTATAAAATTTAAAGCTAAAATTGTTGAAATTTTGTCCAATTTGTCCTCTTTCTGAAAAAGGATATAAAATCAGACTAGTTTGTGGCGTCAATTTGTTAATTTATATTTCTCATACAATTTATTGAATTCAGCACATTTCAGAAAGTTTTCAAAATTTGACTTTCTGGGGGCAAATATATGCAATATACCGCATATAGTTCTTTGGTATTCATTTTTTTTTATTCACCTGCATATTTTGTATTTTTTAAAAATAATCAATTTTGTATTCATTATATGTTATTATATTTATTAACGTAAGTGTCTCACTTTAAGCATTTTGAATATAAGTGTTTTTCTATTTACCTGAGAAGAAAATAAAAAATCCGAGGTTCAATATGAAATGCATTTTTTTTCCTTGATGCCTTGACCACTGTTTTGTAAAATTTTAGCCAAGAACATCTGTGCTGTAAAGTTCCGCTGTTACAGCAAGGATAAGATTACTTATGTGCATATATCGTTCATTTAAATGACATCACATGACATGTAGAATCACGAAATATAACGTGTTACATGTAACAGTAATTAAAGAACATTCATCTGCTATCATTTTTTTTTTTGTTGCTTTGGTCCAAGAAAAAATGATCTTAATGAAAGTTTGGGGTGTAAAAAATATCAAACCAAAATACTAGTAAAACGCATTGTGTAAAAATAAAGTAAAAATGATTTGAAACAAAAAGACTTTAATAAATCATGCGTTTGGCATCACTTCGTGGATTCAGTTACATGTTAATTATGAAAGAAACTTACCCAAATTTAACCTGTTCAATCGGTTGTTTTTATTGAACTTCTAGCCACCTGGACAAGCAGTAGTAATCTTTTTAACTTGAAACAGTTTAGAGATACATTAATTCTTTTCATTTTTAATGTTATGCAAGCATGAGCAATAAAACAAGGGATAAGGTGATCAGTCAAAATATAATATTCATTCAGGTTAAATTTGGGTAAGTTTCTTTTATAATTAACATGTAACTGAATCCACGAAGTGATGCCAAATGCATGATTTATTAAAGTTTAAATAATCATGAGGAGAGTAGCGTATCAGAAACCCTTGGCTAACGAAGATGAGGGCCAACGTAATTTTCACCGGAAGGCTGGCGTTGACTCAACGAAAGCTTTGTTGCAACCACTATTGAAATAACGACCACTATTGAAATAATTATATCAATAGTGGATGAGAGTGCATTTCAATAACAAACATAGTTAGTAACCACTATTGAAATACGACCACTATTGAAATAATTATATCAATAGTGGGTGAGAGTGCATTTCAATAACAAACATAGTTAGTAACCACTATTGAAATAATTATATCAATAGTGGGTGAGAGAGCATTTCAATATCTAACATAGATATAATCCACTATTGAAATACGACCGCTATGGAAATAACTACTTCGAGGGTGGGTGAGATTTCAATATGATAACCATTAGGTTTCAACCACCATTTAAATACGAGCACTATTGAAATAATTATTTAAAAGTGAGGTAGACTGCTTTTTAATATGATTACTATAGGTTTCAACCACTATAGAAATACGACCAGTATTGAAAGAAAATTTCATTGAGTAATTTTTAATTTGTTATCCAAAATTTCACAATGATTGGATTTGGGGTGAAAAATATGTAGATTAATAATTAAAGTGTATGAATTAATAAGGGTGGTTTTTGTAAGGCAAAATTTTGAACATCACAGGTTTTTAATTTCTTTATATTCCAGGAATTTATTATTTGCATCATTTGCAATGAGAAAAGACCAAAAAATATATACCTAACCAGGCATCCATTTTTTGTTTGTATCATCTGTCCTTAAATGAAAATTAAGATAGTTATTGAAATTATAATTTCAAAAGTGATTTAGATAATCATTTTGATAGTTACTTTAAAACTAAAATCATAATTTAATCCATATTGAAATCTTTATTTATAAAGTGAACATTATTTCAATAGTGGTTGCAACCTATGCTTGTTATTGAAATGATTTTTACCCACTATTGAAATAATTATTTCAATAGTGGTCGTATTTCAATAGTGGTTATTACCTATGTTTGTTATAGAAATACACTCTCAACCACTATTGATATGATTATTTCAATAGTGGTCGTGGTCGTATTTCAATAGCGGTTAATAACTATGTTTGTTATTGAAATGCACTCTCACCCACTATTGATATAATTATTTCAATAATGGTCGTATTTCAATAGTGGTTACTAACTATGTTTGCTATTGAAATGCACTCTCAACCACTATTGATATACTCAGTATTAATTATTTCAATAGTGGTCGTTATTTCAATAGTGGTTGCAACAAAGCTTGCTATCAGGCAATGTGTCAATCAAACGTGTCCCGAAAATCGTAGTTTTAAAAATTCCCAGTTAAATATTTGTTAAATTATTTCCGCATGAAATACTATAGCAACATATGTCATGATATTATATATACAATTTTTTTAAAATATCAACTTCAAGTTTGTATCTATTTATCTGGAAAATGAATCAATTGAAGATCATTATGTGTACAACAAGTTATACAATTCTACTTGGTCTAAGTTTCCAATTTACTCTGCATCTGTTCATGTTTTACGATTCATACTTTTCATTATCATGTCAAAAAACACAGTCGGTAAAACTTGTATAAAGTAAAAAATCAAAAAAAAATCATCATTTGATGCATGCATAATTTCCCAAGCACAAAAGAAATTTGAGGTACTTCCTGAAAGTCAGGAAATATGTTCGTATATTTGAATGTTAGAAAAATTATCATTAAAACTTTCAAAATTTCCGTATTTAAGATTTCATGAGTTTTATAATTTTAACTGTACAACTCTCTTTATAACCCCTCTGAGATAGCCTTATTATATCGACACAAATACACTTTTGCGAGTTATAAAATTGTTTAAGGTATCTGATGCAAAATATCCTCAGATACAACATGTACAATATGAATCTGAATGCATAACAGATACATATTGGGTGAATACACAGTATATATAGACATAATCTTCATGTTTTAGTCTCGGTAATTATGTAAGAACGGAACGTGTACTCATTTTTTACCTTGCCAAGTCCTATAGAAACGTTCACATTCCCCTTTTGCTTTTAATCTATAAAATTCATTTTAAAAAATCAATCTGGTGAAAAACCAATTTTCAATCGTTTTTCTGTTTCCTAATGGTTATAAACATCTTTCCATCATAACATTTTTGGATATTCATAGTATTTAAATTTTTATTGTAAAACATCTGCTTGTCCCCATAGACCTCAATGCATTGACTTAAACATGTTTAATTATATATTTGAAAATTTCTCCTGGTAAATCCTTTTCTATTGTAAACTGTTTTGAACTGGCTTCAGAGGGGAGAAAGTATAAAGAATAATTATAGCATTGAATGATTAAAATTATGAAATTTACATCAATGTACACGTAGAGATCTGTAAAATAAATCTGATTTTTAAATTCTGTATCATATTTTAATCTTAACTTTCGATATCGCTTTTTAATTTAGATAATTTATTTATTTTTTGTTGAAAAATCAGTGAATTCATTCGCGTTTCTGTGTAAATGGCGCTGTGCCATTAACGTAAGCCTACGTTCTAGGTGAAATATACATTCAAGACCCAAGTCGCATTCACTTAACATTTGATGATTTTGAGTCTCTTATTCTTCAAGTAAAATCTTTTTAGTACACGAAGATCAGGCTGACCTCCTTATCAGTTTACCGACGATACAAGTTTCATCGAATGACAAAATTTGATGATTACATTCAGCCCAAAACTAAAGTATCCTACAAATATAGATAGAGCATGGACCTAATTTGAAATGTAGGTCACAGTAACCTCCATTTAAGTTTAAAATAATGTACTCTAAAGACCAATGTTGTCTTTATTTGTTTGCAGACGCACCACTTCTGAAGTAAATTTAGACCTATACTCGGAACTCAGGGCTAGGGCCTATTGAGCAGTGAGCATTTTTTATGGCAACATTTACTACGACGCGGGATCTCAGTTTATACGGTCGCATCTGGATGACCGGTCTCCATGTCCCACAGTGTAATTCAAACCGTAAGGACGTAAGTTAGGTTCAGCTCCTTACTCCACGACCAAGAGCAGACGTCCTATATAAGCACTGTGCCAAGCAGGTGATCGAATGACCAAAGATGCATCAACAAATTTAAAGACTCTTATGATCCAAAATATTTAGATATTGCTGAAAAAATTCCAAAATAAGCCACTTTTTGGTTATATGTAAACTGGAAACCATGATTTATCGTTGATGATTCTTATTAGTCCTCTTACATGTATTTTTGCAATATCAAGATATACCCTCTGAGGAATCAAGATGCACCAACTGACAAAGTATGATTAATCTTATTCATCAAAATATATCAGACGTACATCTTTTCAAATACACATTGTAGCCATGAAATTTTTAAAAGTCAACATACAGAAGCCCGGGGGGTGGGGGTGGGGTGGGGGGTTCATTTACTTACTCGTTATGTTTTTTTCTTCTGACTTGTTAGTTGTGACTTAATTGTTATGAATTAATTTGTTGCTAGTTAAAATTAGGCATAACATAGCTACGTAGAACATGCAACTTTGCTTAAAATATGCTTAGATCAGGTTTGGTGGTTTTTAATTGATTACTTGTAGTTCAATTTCTAATACAGATGTGACTACTAAATTATCATCTGTTGATATATTTTTTTTTGTTTAAATAAACATTTGATAACTAAAATAAATAAGCTCATAGCATAAAAAAATATAACCGATCTTTTTTTTCCCTAGGATATATGATACAGGCAAGTTTGTCTACTACAATTCCTCAAAAAATAATATTTCATTTCATAAAATATTAATGTAAGTCAAGGTACCACGTTCTCCATATCTACTTTACACTTATCACTAGTAACAAAAACTTCATAATAAATAAGTCACAACAAATTAGTTATATCAAATAAAATATATATTTAAGGATACTTAACACAAACAAAAATTTGATGCATGGATTGATATATATTTTTTGACTGATTTTGATTTGAAAGGACATAAATAATAAATCCCTGAAATATAAAGAAATCGTAGATTTTCCTTGGTGCTTAGATTTGAGACTTTGTTTTGCTTTCTATATAATTCTTTACAAAATTCTGCACAATTTTTTAACCTTATGACAACATCTTATAAAATTCTCCCAATATACTTGGTAAACATTATTCAGGTTTCCAATTAAAATGTAAATCTATGAGAGATATAGCTGATTTCTGAAAAAAAGTTTGTTTGTGTTATTTATCCTTAAGGATAAATAACACAAACTTTTTTCAGAAATCAGCAATATTTCTGATAGACTTGCATTTAAATTGGTAACCTCAATAATGTTTACCAAGTAAAGTAGGAGAATTTCTTAAGATTTTGTCATAAGATTGAAAATTTGTGGGAAATTTTGCCTTGAATTATAAAAAAAAAGCAAAACCAAGTATCATATCTAAGCACCAAAGAAAGCCTATGATTTTTTATATTTCAGGGAATTATTGTTTATGTCATTTCAAATCAAAATCAGTCAAAAAATATATATATATCAATCCGTGCATCAAATTTTTGTTTGTGTTAAGTACCCTTAATTTGCACAAATTCCCTGTAAAATATCATAATTTTATCAAACCCTGACTCAACAAAATTAAAGATATAGCAGACGGTTTTCATATTCTGTAACAGTAGAAGTTCAAATAAATGACATTTACATTTTTATGACCAATTTTAATGGATATAAAGACTTCTTGATACAGCAAAGTGAATTCACGGGGACCAAGACCTTTTACTCAACCAATTTTTGCTGTATAATTATAACACATGCAATGTATATATTACATTAAGAGTCACAAAATAACATATATTTACATAACAATCACTTGTTTCAGTAATAAATTTTTAACCTACATGTATAGTATCATAATAAAAATTTAAATTTTCTACCGAAACAAGTGCCTGTGATTTAGATAATCATGTATATATTTAAAATATAAAAATTTTTCATAGAATAATAATAACTTAAAGATTTTTCAATGGAGAGCTGCATTCAATTTATTTTGTTTTTACACAGTTTTGTGCATCAACATAACAACATAGATGTACATCATGTTTCAACATTCATTTGTAGCAACATACAGTCATGTAGATCAAATTTCATAAAACACAGCAATGAGACAGTTAAATTCTTAAATAGATTGTATTGCTTTTAGCATGTTTAGTGAATAGGCCGAAGATTGCCTGCTAACTATAATAGCTATTGTCCCTTCCTACAGATGCTTGTGTCTTTAAAACATAAGTCCAGCTCAATCTCTTTGACGCAATTAAAAGACAAACATAGTCATGATTTAATTGTCCCTTTTCTGTCTTTGACATATCTTTTCTGCATTGGGCACACACAGCTTCAGGTTTGGTTAAAAAGTTTACTGATATCTTCATACTGAACATTGTCTACAACACGCCCCTTTAATGGACCCTGAAATAAGAAAGAAAGTAGGGAAACATTCTAAATTGATTTTTTTTTTTACCATTTATTGACATGTACATTTTTTAAAACATACTGTATATATGGTTACTGTAGACATATTAATTTTCACGGGGTTGTTATTCTGTAGATTATCTATTAAACTTTAATCCTTGGGTAGAAATTACGCTAATTTTTTAGAATCATACTATATTCCTTGCAAGTATTTTAAGTACGATGGGACAAATTTCTGTGGCCAATTTGCGTCTGCGTACATAGCGTAAATTAATACCACACGGAAAAAGGACTTTTACTGTATTTTTGCCCCATGTTATTTTCCCCTTTTTACACCTGCTAACAATTTTGCCTCGTTTTAATTTTGTGCAGTCAAAGGTCTGTTTAGGAATTCAAAATTATACTGTGTTCTTTAAATTTGCCACTTGTGACAAGGGCGAAATGTTCGAAAATAAACAGGGGAAAAAAATTTTGCTGTATACAATAATTTCAGATCTATCACTGATACATGTAGTCTATAACAGAAAGTGATGCATGAACATCCAAACTAACATTTAAACACAAAGCACATTGTATGAATCAGTGATTCTTGAAAAGAAGAATTTGAAAGGGTTTTTCCGTACAATTAAAAGTAATAGTTTGAATTCTAATTGTGGCCCCACCTACCACCGGACTGTTTACAGACAGATGGAAGGGCAGACAGACAGCTAGATGGACATCCAATCGAAGAGAAACAAAGAAAGTTCACTCAAGTGAGCTAAAAATTATCAAACTGGCGATTAACACCTTCAGGTAAAAGTTCACAGAGAATCATAAGTGGATACTGCATGATATTCAACAGAATCTCTAACTTAATTTATTGATAAATCAATAGTATGTGACAATTTCAAACTTTAAACCAGAAGTCTCTGTCGAGGCTGTAGCTCTACTGGTTTTATACTTAAAACAAAGGAAGAGAAAAGTAGCAGTTGTGACTTGAGACTTCAAAACAGGAATCAATAGAAAAATGATCCTTGACACTCAACAAAATAAAAACTGATGCACAGAATAATGTATCTTAGTGTAGTCTACTTGTGTGCCAAGTTATATTTAAATCGGACCAAAACTAAAGGAGGAGTAGCATTTGAAAGAATTTCACAGAAATTTCTATTTTTAGCAACCATGGCAACACCTTTCATCAAAATCAAAAACCGATGCACGGAATTATGTATCTTAGTGTAGTCTACTTGTGTGCCACATTATATTGAAATCAGAACAAAACTGGTGGACGAGTAGTATTTAAAATAAAATTTCACAGAAATTTCTTTTTTTAGTAACCATGGCAACACCGTTCATCGAAATCAGAAACCAATGCACAGAATTATGTATCTTAGTGTAGTCTACTTGTGTGCCAAGTTATATTGAAATCGGACCAAAACTGTAGGAGGAGTAGCATTTTGAAAGAAGTTCACAGAAATTTCTATTTTTAGTAACCATGGCAACACCATACATCGAAATCAAAAACCGATGCACAGAATTATGTATCTTAGTGTAGTCTACTTGTGTGCCAAGTTATATTGAAATCGGACCAAAACTGCAAGAGTAGTAGCATTTTGAAAGAAGTTCACAGAAAATTCTATTTTTAGTAACCATGGCAACACGGTTCATCGAAATCAAAAACCGATGCACAGAATTATGTATCTTAGTGTAGTCTACTTGTGTGCCAAGTTATATTGAAATCGGACCAAAACTGTAAGAGGAGTAGCATTTTGAAAGAAGTTCACAGAAAATTCTATTTTTAGTAACCATGGCAACACGGTTCATCGAAATCAAAAACCGATGCACAGAATTATGTATCTTAGTGTAGTCTACTTGTGTGCCAAGTTATATTGAAATCGGACCAAAACTCTAATAGGAGTAGCATTTTGAAAAATTGTTTACAGACAGACAGACAGCTAGACAGACAGACGGACGGACGACGGACGCATTACTATCGCATAAGCTCTTCTGGTCTCTGACCAGTAGAGCTAAAAACTACATTATTGTAAATGTTTTACTTACAGAGTGTATAGATACTGTACAACTGAACTTTTTCTCATCAATCCCCTCCAAAACAGCATCATGACCTCTGTAGGCTCCGTTCACAATCTTCACAAGTTTACCTTAAAGGGAGTAACAATTTTTCAGTCTACAATATGACTATATTTAAAAATTGTTGATTGTACATGTAAAAAATATTCAAGTTAATCTATTAAAACTAAACAATAAATGTGATATCTACTGGCTTGAGACTTTTCCTTAATAAAATAGTCCTGTTCTAATTTTGATCTCATATCTTGAGTCAAAATATCTCCCATACAAAAGACATACTGTATTTACTTGCCTTTAAGTCGGTCTGCATATAAGTCAGTTGTATTTTTTCAGCTTATATGGAAGGGAGTGACGTTCTAAAATACCAGTCTTTTAATAACTTGCCTATTAGGCCATGTAAAGTTAATTACTTGGTTCTCAGGCCTCTTTTCAAGAAATATGATGAGGGAGGGAGCCATTTTTTTTTCTTTTTTATTGCCCCCAAAACATGATGAGACAGCTTTTTACATTGTACAAAACCCAAAAAAATGATGAGGGAGGTGATTTTTTGTTTTTATTTTATTGATTTAGCAATAAAAAGGGTCAATGAGGCACCCTTGGAAGAGATGAGGGAGGGCCTGAGAACCAAGAAATTAATTTTTTTTTGCCTTAGTCTGACAATGAGTTTTTGTCCAAAATTCAACTTCCAAAAAAACAACTTATAGGTGAGTATATATGGTATGTTACATTACTAAGTAAACATATTCCACTACTATTGATTCTTTGTATCTGCAGTATGTATATAGGAATTGTATGCCTGTTGCCCAGTCTAAAATGAATATTGTTTAAACAAGTCCAAGCTAGCTGCGTCTTCCTACCTTGAGCTGGTATAACAGTCTCTAAGTGATTCTGGTCTACCCTGACTTTGTTTCCTGAGTCTAATGTTTCAATCACAGCCCTATATAGGTCCTGGACCTCCTGAAATTAAAAGCCTTCAGATAACTGTGACTGTCATAGAGTTGATGAAAGAAAAAGTGAGCTAGCTCACATACCCCACGATCCCCCCAAACTTGACAGTGAAACACATAATGAAAGGCACAGTGCACTTTAAATACATAGTATAGATCAAAAAGGGCAATAATTGCAAAAAATCTTCACATCAAAATGTCTTACATATGAGGACATTTAAATGTGGAATGAAGCTTCTAGATAAATAATGGAATCAAAATTTCTTGGCATTATACAAATCCAAACATTAATTTGAAGTAATTGGGGGGGGGGGGGGGGGGGGGGGGGGGGGGGTGAGAAATTTTCTTGAATAATAGGCAAAACTCTTTTGGATAAAAGAAATTATGTACAACAGTTTAAGAGGAGTGGTGCTGACAAACTGTTCATCTCTATATTCAAAATATGGCCAAAAAGTCTAAGTTGGAAAGTGTGGAAATTCCCGGAAAAATTAAGGAATCGGAATTTCCTGGTAATATGCACGTCTACATATTGTGTCCTAAATATCTGCAAAGTTTGACGAAATTCTGTGCAGTGGTTTATGAGGAGTTGCGCTGACAAACTGTTCATCTCTATATTCAAGGTATGGCCAAATGCCTAAGTTAAAAAGTGCGGAAATTCCCGGAAAAATAAAGGAATCAGAATTTCCTGGTAATATGCACGTCTACACATTGTGTCCTAAATATCTGCAAAGTTTGACGAAATTCTGTGCAGTGGTTTATGAGGAGTTGCGCTGACAAACTGTTCATCTCTATATTCAAGGTATGGCCAAATGCCTAAGTTAAAAAGTGCGGAAATTCCCGGAAAAAATAATGGAATCGGAATTTCCTGGTAATATGCACATCTACACATTGTGTCCTAAATACCTGCAAAGTTTGACGAAATTCTGTGCAGCGGTTTATGAGGAGTTGCGCTGACAAACTGTTCATCTCTATATTCAAGGTATGGCCAAATGCCTAAGTTAAAAAGTGCGGAAATTCCCGGAAAAAATAATGGAATCGGAATTTCCTGGTAATATGCACATCTACACATTGTGTCCTAAATACCTGCAAAGTTTGACGAAATTCTGTGCAGTGGTTTATGAGGAGTTGCGCTGACAAACTGTTCATCTCTATATTCAAGGTATGGCCAAATGCCTAAGTTAAAAAGTGCGGAAATTCCCGGAATAAATAAAGGAATCGGAATTTCCTGGTAATATGCACATTTACACATTGTGTCCTAAATACCTGCAAAGTTTGACGAAATTCTGTGCAGCGGTTTATGAGTTGCGCTGACAAAAAAAAGAGGACTGACTGACTGACTGACTGACGGACTGACTGACGGACGGGTCAAAAACATTATACCTCCCGCAACTAGTTGCGTGGGGTATAATAACTGATAAAGTCAATGTTTACACGTGTAACATTTACATGTACAAATTGGTTACCATTACACAATACTAATTAATCCAAAATGGAAAAAAGTACACCTACTGTACCTTAAACAATTCATGACTGCAAATTAAAGATTACAGACCCTGAGACGTGCTACTACCCCACACGCTCGCTGCACGAACGGTACACGAACGCTACACGGTTTGCACGAAACGCTGCACGGTTTACACGAAACGCTACACGGTTTGCACGAAACGCTACACGGTTTACACGAAACGCTTTGCACGAAAGGCTGCACGGTTTACACGAAAGGCTGCACGAAACGCTTTGTACACGTTTCTTACACGCTTTGTACACGATTCTCGCACTTTTCTACTCGGAATATCTCGGGCATTATTACGATCGTATCATTTATTAAATGGAAATCTTTCACAAAGCCAAATTTAGCAGCTGTTTAAATTGAATATCAGTAAACTAGTATTACATAAACCGATAGATATATTTAATACTTTGACAGTTGTAATTAATTAATAAATAATTGTCATTTCGTATTTATTTATTTATTTATCCAACTGTTTAAAAACGGAATGCCGATATCATAAATGACTGTTTAATAAAATACAATTTTTATATATTAGTCATTTATTTCAATGTAATATTTTTACGAGTATAATTTAATAAATTAAACACTAATTCGATTTCTTACTGCTGGAAAAGGAACTCATTGAATTTAAATAATATTGAATATATTGTGTTTGATTTCCGTAGGCGGATTATTTTTCTTGATTTTGATCTAGTAATAAAATTTGCTGATATATTCTACTAACGATTATTGATACATTTAATAAATAATAAAGATTTTTTTTTTGTCTTACGTAAGCATTATCTATAGGAGGGAAACTGGTAAGGGGGTGGGTTAAATGTGATGTCTTAATCTATTCTTATTAAATTTCTCTTTTTACATGAAGCTTATAAAATAACATCAGTATACCCATCGTACTGTAAAATCCTTCATTTCAAAACCCGACTAAACGTAATGTATATATGTGTACATTAATTAATAGTCGCGGCATTTGACTGTACATTGTACAACTGTACATACAATGTAGATCGATCTTTACACCCGGATTCAGGTATATTATAAGAAAACTGAAATATCTTAGATGAAATAAAAAGTACGTGATTTATAAAACAAATAATATACAAGTATTCATGATTTACTCCTAAGCTTTTCTTACATATTATTCATGCAAAAACTACTAAATCAGTTTTATTTTACTGTTTACGGCTAGAAATTCGGATTTACAAATAAAAGATGAAATCCGCTAATTTATACGTTGTAGCCATTAAATATTTATAGAACTATTTTATTTAAAAAAAAATAAAATTCAGTCGTAATTTTCAGGTGTCATTAAGCCGTGAACTCAACATGCACATATAGCAAAACAGGTTTTCTTTTGCCTTGCACTCGGAGCCCGTGATCGCTGTTGTAAATGACCTTGATCACAGTAGAAAGGCGGAAAGACGATTCCAATACATTTTTAAGGGGTGTATCTGCGCACACATTAAACAAAGAATTTAAAAAAGAATATAAAATTAAGCATTTATTTAAAATAACATAAGATTGAAAGTTACAACAAAAAATGAAAGACTGTACTAGTTATTTAATTAAAGCCCCCCCCCCTAATTTCTAAACATGTGGTCGTCAGTGCATGTGAATTAAAATTATAAAATCCATTTATTTGACAATAATGAGCAACAAGTTTTATGTATTAAATGACATATCGTTTCAAAACTTTCTTTCACGTACTTTAAATGTAAAGAGAAGAGCGGAGTCCTGATATATTTTTGCTTTAAATTAAAAAAAAAAATAATACCGGTATTTCTTTCTTTCTTTGAGAAAAATTTTTTAAGAAGCCATGATCGCGTTGATAGTATATTGAATTCAATGCCCTTAAAATTGTTGTACATAATTATGTAGTTGATTAATTTGAACACATTTTCTAAAGAAGGAAAAGAAAACAAACAAATATATATATATTATACATTACCGTGTAATGTCATTTTGTTGTTCCATTTCTTTTTTGTTTTTACTCCTAAAATATCACAAGCATAACTAATTCAATAATAAAATACTAATACAATTTGACATCCTGACCCATCCATAGCCATATTTAAAATGAAATGACTTCCGAATGAATCTTACACGATTCTTGCACGAAAGTCACACGTTTCTCACACGGTTCTTACACGAAAGTCGCACGTTTCTCACACGCTTTTCGCACGCTCGCTACACGGTTTGCACGAAACGCTTTGGAGCTTACACGAAACGCTGCACGGTTTACACGAAACGCTACACGGTTTGCACGAAACGCTGCACGGTTTACACGAAACGCTACACGGTTTGCACGAAACGGAAAGCGCACGAAAGTCACACGCTTTTTTGGGGTAGTAGCACGTTTCAGGGTCTGTACTAATAAAATTTCACTGCTCCCTGGGGTTGAGTTCACTGGGATATTTATAAGGGGCCCCGAACCCCCTTTTGTAGAAAATATACATATGCTTTGATAAATCAGATTTTGGTGTGGCTGTGGACCCCTCCTCCTACTCCAAAATAGTCCCCCCTTTCAAACTTCCTGGATCTGCCACTGGAATTTACCTTGACCATTGCCTTTTTCTTGTGGAATTTTTCCCCAAGCTTCTTTGTGACAATCTTGACAACAATGCCTTCCATCAGCCAATAATCTTTTCTGTTTGTTTTCTCTTTCTTTTTCTCTTCAAACTAATCCAATCAAAGAATACCTGGTAGATTTTGAATATAGGCATAGCTGGATGCAAATTATCTTTAGTTATTGCTTTGCTTATATCAAAAATAAAATATTTTAAGTGAAGTTTGTATGAAGGACATAGAAGTAAGGAGATAGTCATCATACATCCATATTCCATGAATTTGTGCAGTAAAACAATTGTCAAGAAAATGACAAGTAACTGATAAACAAACAAACCTCCATGATTTCGTCCAGAGCTGATTTCCTTTTCTCTCCAGGCTTGGGAGGTTTGAAGGGGTCTTTTTTTAACTCCTTCTTGGGCTCTTCTTTTTCCCATCTGCTCTCCCTTTTCTTTGGCTTTTCTGATTCTGTTGGTTTCTTTGAACTGAAAGGGTTGTCTGATCTGTCAAGGGAAATCAAAAAATGGGTGTAAATAAATAAATGCATTATGACAATTTATAATGAAGCTGAAGGGAATAAATCTTAGTTTGAAGCCATTATCATTATCAATTCTACATTGAAAGGCAAATCATATTAGTATTACATTTATATATGGTATATAACATATTGTACAAGGTATACATGTATAGATGTATGACAGTATGAGAAAGATTACAACTTACTTCAATGCTGAATTTTCTTCCTTTTTCTTTGGCTTCAGTCCAGAAAAACTCAGAGAAACTACAAAATAACAACTCAAACATCCCTTATATGCACTGGTTGAAATCATACTCTTACTCAACTTTTAAGCTGGTAATTTCAATTATGATCATTGAACATGTTTAACTTATAAAAGTGCATAATAAGCATATAATCTTATTTCACCCAGGTTTTAGCATTCAAATTATTCTTTTAGCAAGTGAACAAAGAAGACCTTATAGGCATAAACAAAACAGGCATACTGTACACCAATATATAAAATTACATGTACATTTTATGCATGTAATATGTATATTTTGATATCACTGAACTTTTATCAAACATCAACATCTATTATTAAAGGTTAACAATGGATGTTTCCAAGTCTGTTGGAATTCCCAAGCACTCTTCTATATGTATTTTAATCTTAATATTTTGAAGAATTTAACATCTCAATCTTTAGGGGACCCTTCCAGTTCACAAGCTTTGACTGTATTGATTTGCTTTACCCTTGTCCTCCTCGTTCTCTCTCTTTAGTTCTGTATACTCTGCCTCTTTCGCTGACGTCCCCTGTTCTGCCGCCCGCTCTATTTGTTTCTGTATAAAAACAGCCGTCCTCTCCTCATCATCCATATCCATTTTCTCCTTGGCTTTTATCTGCTCCTGTTTCTTAATTGTCTCTGGATCGCGGTCAATATACTGAATGAACCAGCCTTTCTCTGTGTTGTCCACTACACATTTTCCTACAGAATCATTTGATTACAGGATAAATATGATATTATGGTGTGTGAAGATTAATTATATTTTCAGTCTGTTTTTCTTTCACCCAATTTCAATACAAACTTCTTAAAAAAATCTTAATACATTCAAAACTTCATGTATTAGCTACATGTTCACAAATATTCTCAATTTGTATATAAACATATTCTAACAAAATTTTAATTACATTTAATTATATCCATTTATTCTGTTCTATAATAATAATATCTGAACGTTACTTTTTTGCTTAGATGTATGTGAAGTATTTAAACAATTATGATAATGGGGGTCAGAAATTAGTGTTGTTGAAACTCATTCTGTTGTTCAATGCTTTTCCACAAGTAAAACATAATAATTGGTAATTAATATACAAATATCTTCATAAAAAAAATCCACTGACTTATAAGAGTTTTACCTTCTCTTCCTAGCCATTTGACAAATTCTGTGAGTGACTCCCACTGTGTTGCATTCATGTGGACATGTTCTCGAAAAGCAATGTACTCCTGGTACACAATGTTACAGTGAACTCTTTTTGTACCAAATCTTCTCCTTAGCAGCTCCAAATAACCATCCATAAACTCTCTACAATTCAACCCAAAGCAATTTAAAATTTGACATTTTGTAAATGATACACATGGGGAGGGGGGAAGTAAAAGTATTGTATATATATTATATGAATTTCTGAACAGGCCAGCATAAATATATTTGTTGTAAAGGGCCACAGACCATGGTGTCTTTTCTTTGGTCCATTTAATCAATAATCTTAAGCCAATCTGCCAGTGCCAAGGTGTTAGATGTGTTTGGAAGAGGGTTTTGTTTGGCCACGAAGTCTGTGTTCTAGCTAACACAAACATGTACATTTGAAACCCCCCCCCCCAAAAAAAAAAATTACAAACTTACTTTGAGAAGTCATCGATGTATTGATCTGGATTTTCTGCAAACAGTAGCAGCTGCCTCTGATGAGACTCTGACATCATGTGACATTTAAATCCATTCTGAAAAAAAGAAAGATTAACTGAGTGCACAGGTAAACACAATTACATCACTTATCAAACAGGTTCAGTAATAATTCATAACTCGCATTTCATCATCAAGTAAATATGATAAAGGGTGATATAACGCTTTTATTATCTTATTTTCTCACAGTTTATTAATTAATCATTTACTTTAAAGATTGAGTAATCTTACAATTGAATTGTTTTTTGTCCTGGTTTCCAAAGAATGTACATTAGATTGAATGGATCATTTTTTTTTTTACATTTATTGTATATAAAAATAAAAAAATATTTCCGCCTTCACAAAAATTACTTTACATGATATTAAAGAGACAGACTTATTAAAGTTTACAAACTTACCTCATCTCTGCATTGTTTTTGGCACATCTGACAATACCATCGCAATTTCTGTAAGCCCTTCGCCTTTATACGATTAGCTATTGCTTTTGGTGTAAGAAAACCACCTTTCTCTTTACCCATTTTTAAAAAAATAATTTGTCTACAGTGAGAATACAACAAAAATGTTCAGTTTGTAAAATTTGTTGACACTTGACTAGAAATTTTCAGTTTCATCGATTTCCGGTTTAAAATTGAGCAGTAACACGTACGTAAAATATTTCCATTAATAGATTTCTTTGTTTTCAAATTTCATGTTCCTAAGTATTTGTTGTATCTAGGGATAATATCAC